CGTGTTAGCACAGGTTTGAAAGAAAATATGCAGATAAGATTGGACTGTATTGGTTCTATGTTATATATGTATACAGAAATAGTATTAAAGGTGTAACTTTAGATTACCGACCTCTATACATTGTGACAATGGTGTTAAGATTTTTAAAAAAGCCATCTTTTCATTATGATGGTTCTTTGTTTTTAAGGGAGGGTGGTGTTATTAAGTTGTGTAGGGTAGTCATGAATTTGGGAGGCAGGAAGGTAAATTTGTTTGTAAAAAATGATAAGGGAGAACAGTACATGGTTCCTTTAAGAGATAAAGTCCTTTTCTAAGCTTAGAGATTTGTACAGAAAAAAAAGTGTCTGTATGTAGCTGAAGATGTACAGCCAGTTTTAAAATGGAAATGTCTAACAATTGGTTGTGAGATTGGAAACCTTAGGCGTGTTTTGATGTTTTGGCAATGATCTGGAGAATCAGCCAATTAATTTAAACCACGCACTTAGCAACTGAAAGACAATTGAATTTAAATCTGATGGTTTTGACGAGCTCGGAACAATGCTATTGGAAGAAAATTAATATGTCATCTAAGGTATATAAGGAGAGGGCTTTTGAAAATCGGTGTGAGAGTGAACCACCGACTGAGAAATAAGCATCTAGCTCTCATAAGAAATTGCTGAGCTCTCTAAGAAAGCATCATCTTATCCATAAAAGGTACCACAGCACTTCTAGCTAAGATTCTTTACATAGAAAACATCCCTGACAGCAGGATCAATGGAAGAAAGGTGTTTATGATTTGAGAACAGCAGAAGAAAAGTGTTTATGACTGGAGAGACAGAGCATTCCAGAAGACACATTCTGCGTGGACTTTGACAGACTAAGTTTTAATTAATTTTCTTTCTGCTTGGGTTATATAAGTGGCACTTGTGTTTATTCGAATATTATACCAGTAAAAATTTTGTTCAGTTAGTAAATAGTTAAGAGTTGGGTGGTATTGTTTATTTTGTTAGTAGTTCTTGTTAATTTGTTCACTGTTCAGGTTAAATAAATAAATTGTTACTTGTTACTTATAAAGTGACAATCAGGGATTTTCTTTCATTTAACCTCCCCTTCTCTGTAACGTTGAAAAAGAGGGTTTTTTTTACACCTTTGGCAGAGGTGCAAAAAGGGGCAGATGGCATAGAGGCCCAATGCAATAGAGAAGGGGGTTGGTAATCTTGGAGAATAAAAAATCTCAAAAAGGTGTAAGTTAAAGTGCAAAAAGAGAGCATTGAAGACGGACTTGTCCCCAGATTCAGCACTGACCCCATTCCAGACACTCAAACATTTGAGCAAAACGCCTCGAGACTGAGCTCTGCATGTGTTGAGAGCAAAACTAAATATGGAACAGAATTTTTGACGTTCTTTTCTTCATTGACTGCTTTTCCTTTCTTCTCTCTGTCGGTTATCTTGCA